AAAGCAAGAGTGAAATGAGGTGCAATATTGTTGCAATTTTAGTACCTGGTTAGGGCTACAAGGAGTATCAGACCATTGCAGTTTTGAAAAAAAAAAAGCTATCTGTATATTTCATTGTGCATATTAAGCAATGCTAGTGGACACAATTTTGCATCAGAAATATTAATAACACTTTACTGGATGACTACAGAGTCCTGTAGGAAAAATATTTGGTATGCTATTTTGATAATGCCACAAAAAAGACATATAGAAACAAATGAAAGTCCATCTAGAGAGAAACAATCTAGTGTATCTGGATATATTAAATGAATGTATACAAGCTGATGGTGTGAAGAAACGTAGGCAATGTGTGAAAAATTTAGGCAATGACAATCTGTGGCACAGATATTGATATATTGGGCAATAGGTGTATGTCTTATTTCCTGACAGTAAATTTAAGGGGAGTGAAAGGATAGCGGTATAAACTTGGGACTTAAAGCCTTCAGCCATTTAAGAATGACTAAGGGGTCTATTCACGAAGCTGCCAAAGGATCTGGCCTTAGCTTCGGCCGATCCTTCGGCTAGCTTCGGCCCCAGGACCCCTTTGGTTCAGTAGAACCGAAGGGGTGCTGTATGGGCTATTCACAATAGCCCGTACAGCTCCCGATCATGGCCGAGCGGCTCAGCCGAGCCGAACGCATATGCATCGGCTCGGCTGAGTCGTGCTGAAAGCCGAAGTTGGCCGGCCACTCTGCCTGCTTCTGACAGCTCAGCGGAGCCAGCCGTGATCTTACGGCTGGCTCCGGCCACTTTCAGAGAGATCAGTGTCCCTGGTTAACTGCTAACCAGGGACACTGATCTCCAAACAGCAAACTCTCCCTGGAGCCCCGGGAGTCTCCTGCTCCCGGCCACCAAGGAGAGAAGCAATGCTGAGTCCTTTTTCTTTATTCTGACACGAGCATGTCAGAATAGAAAAAAAAAAGATTTTTCCCATTGAAAAGCATTGGGACATTACTATTGGCTATTTCAATTTGCAATAGCCAATAGTAAACTAGCATTGTACCTGCCCTCTGCTGCAGTTCCCCATCAGGTCCATCAGCAGAGGGCGGGAACAATGCTAGTTTACTATTGGCTATTGCAAATTGAAATAGCCAATAGTAATGTCCCAATGCTTTTCAATGGGAAATTGCTTTGGAAAAAATGTGATCTGCCCCTTTAAGAATCGGTAATTGGTATCGGCGAGTACTTAAAAAAAAAGTATACATTGACAATAAAAATACATAATAGGGAGTATAAATATATAAATATGTATTTGTCATGCTTTATATTCACATTTTTTTAATTAAAAAATATCAATAATAAAGAAGAATGTACCTATTGTATCACTAGCGTACTACTGGCATACTGTATTTTTTATTTCGGTCTGTGTCCTTAATGGGAAGATTCACCCCTTTATTTGTTTAAGTTACCATTGTAACCACTGTACCATTGTAAGACATAAGGTAAATGGTTATCCAAAAATTTTAGAGTTGTCAGATGAGCAAGAGGTGAGGAAATATCTTTTAATGGGAACAAATGGTCTAGTGACAACTGTCTCAGGGAAGAATTCCCCTGTTTTGTCCATAAGGCCTCATTTACACACAACGCAAGAGCAAAATTGTATATTGCTTATAAACGCGTACATGCGCGTATGTACGTGCATATATGCGCATATGCATACACATATACGCGCGTATATATGTGTGTGCACTATACGTAATCCCAGAATGCATCATTCGTAATAGAAATTGTTATGAAATGTACGCGCGTGCGTGCGTATACGCTCACAAACACACGCGTGTATGCACGTAAAATCCGCAGAAATCCGCTGCCCTGACGCATCTCGGTTCCATTATGTTTTTGCGCATTTTTACGCTACGCAAATATACCGCTCCATGCGCAGCTATGTGTATGGAGCCATTTATTTGCATATGCTTCATATGGTACAATACGCGCGTACGTGCATATACGCACGTATATGCACGGCCGTGTGAATGAGGCCGTGTGAATGTTAATAAAAATGATCAGCCTCCTCAATACATACAGATGTCCCCTCCTCCAAGTCCATACTTCTTTCTGCGTTCTGTGGCCTCCCATGCTGGGCTGCAAACTAAAATAATATTCAGCATGTAGTGCAACATACCATGAATGTCATAAATGTGGAGAAAATTACGCCTTTGCAAAGTTCCAATATACTACGGGGAATACTAATAATAGTAAAAGTAAATAAACTCTACTTGTGAACTGTTACAGTTAAATCAGAACTAAAGTCCGCAAATACTCATCTCTCCTCCAGAGTTGAAGAGTCGAAGGGACCAACATCTTCCCCCACTCTTCTTCTGGATTGGGCTTCTCTATTGACACGGTGTGCATGCAGTTAATTTATCCCATCCATAGGATGCAGGCTTTGTATACTGCAATGTATTTTGAACATTTTTGCAAACAGCAAGGTAAGGTAAGGTTTTAATGCAAAAGAAATATAGCATGTTTCTTCTGACAGGAAAAAAACCTTACTGCTCGCAAACTGGTGCACAGAACGGAACTGCATATGTAGGTCTTACTAATGCTTTGTACAGGTACACAATTCTTTCTTTCTCTGTTGAGTCCATGAGGTTGGTTTACTAAAGCAAATAGGCGTTTTACCTTGCGAGGGAAGTTTCCCTTAGCTTAGTGAATGAGGTGAAGCTTTGCTGACTTCCATCATCCAATCAAGTAAAAGAAGAAATCACTTTTCATAGAAGATAGCATCTTGTTTATAGAAGCAACAGATTTGCATCCCTTGTGGTTATGAATGTGGTCTTTGATCTGCTAGGACACCTTCTCTATCATGATTCACCCACCTTTGCTCTTTCTAGATTGTATGAATCATGCATGTTTTAGCCCCCAAGAGCATACCTTTCCATTTATCAACAACAATCCCTTAAATTGCCATGCAATTTCCAAATCCAGGTCACCTTCTGGACATTATACAAGAAGTTAGACATCTTGCAATTTATATTTTCAGCAATAGCCATATTACAATGCTCTGTTCTTATGTAAACCTAAAAAAAACTACATTATAAGCATTGGCATACCAGACGACTACAGACGAAACAAACAAAAATAAATCAAACATTCAGATAGCAGTAAGTCATTACATGATTAAAGTCCATTTAGGCATATATAAATAATGCCACACAAATATACATTGTGCCTTGTTTTTCCAGCAGTACACACAATGGCATAAATTAACATAATCAGACATAAATTATTCCTAAAATTTCACAACAGTGGAAACTACAACTTATACTACTTCTATTGCTTGGTTGGTAACTCATTGGTTAGGGATGACATGAATAAAACCTATCCTGTACTGGAATTCCATTAGAGGGCTGTACAGGATAGGTTGATTCAAAATTAATTTAACTAACTGACAGTCTCTATATTATTGTGAGTTGAATTTTAATGTGTATGTCAAGCCAAAACCTTTTTTTCCATGTTTTAGAGTGGGTCTTCTTAAAGGAGAACAATGGGGTTAGGGCTTTTCCCATATAGTTCTATACTGAGACGTCGCAGCTGAAGCAGATCCCGACAATTATGTCTGGATCCGCCCAGCTGCGTGAATGACAGCTGGCTCTGCCTATCTAGAGGCAGAGCCAGCTGTACCCGCCCCCTCCCCTGTCCGTTCCGCCAGTCAGCGCTGGAGGATCGGAGGGGGGAATCCAGCCCCTCCCCTGTCACGGCAGAGAGCTGTGACAGGATCGAGAAGTGAGCGAACGCCGGTATGTGTTCGCTCACTTCCAGATCTACTGAGCCGACCTGTGACAGTCTCATTGTCACAGGTCGGCTAGAACTATGAGGTGAGTGAAAAGCACTCACCTCATAGTTCTCCTTTAAGGTGAGATTGTTACTGCCCTCCATGGTTCTGGATTTACCCTCAGTTTCTGTCCTGCTGACAATTGTTTTACTGGACTGGAAGTAAGGAAAAATTTGCAACAGGGACATAGAAGGAAAACCAAATCTGACAGTGGTTCTATTTTTTCCATACACTACTAAAATAAATAATTTTTATTTTTGTCTGTGTTGGTGTTTGAAATTTCCCCTAAAAAATTACAGGGACATCTCTGTTATGGAGCCCCAAATAGCAGTAAAAACTTTTAAAAACAAAATTGTTTTGTTTGGGCATACACTTTAAATTATCCTTAGCATATATTTTGCCATTACACATACCAAGGGTAATAATGGTAATATTGTTTTTCACAACATGAACTCACTCACAACTAACCTCCTCCCCCATCTCCCCTTTCCGGGTTCCCATGCCACATATCTATAATGATGACCCTTGCCAGTATAATGGCCCAGAAACTTTACTATACTGCCCTGGAGGCTGTATAGCAACATAATGGTTACAATGGGGAGTGGTGCGGTCATGTGACTGGGCCAAACAAAGAGGATGTCTTCTGGATCTTCCTTCTTCTGGGACACTGCCCCAGAAGACGGAAGAGAGGGATTATCATTAGTTAGCGGGGTCATCAATACAGATAAGTGGGATAGAGGTACAGTGGAGGGGGTAAGGAGGTTGTTGTAAAATAGTTTATTTTTTTATTTTGTGTGAAAAAGGTGAACTCTTTAAAGTTTAACTCCAGCAAATATTTATAAGTTTTGGATAGAATGTTATCAGTATAGAACTTCTCTTCACTTCCTGTGTGGTTACCAAGTCTGAAATGTAGGAGAATAGTTTCCAGTGGGGAAAAGATATCCATAGTGGAGTGGGGGAATGTTAGAATCCCTGTCCTGTTCATTGACTGTCCCTTTCAGGTTTCTTTACCTTGCTGCGTAGCCTTTGGAGCAGGAAATAAGGGGCAATTCTGTCAGCAGGCCTACACACAGCAATGAAATGCATAGATAGCTTGAACCCTTTTTTTTCATAAAATGCTTTGTACCATTTATATCGTTTAGTGTTCAAAGTAAGCAGATGTTTTACAAAATAAGGATTCTCTCACCTGGAGACCTTCTATTGCTAGTCTCAGCATGCTTGGAGTCAACTTTGATGCTTGTTTGAAGGTGAAGTTGCTCCAATCTATTATTAAAACAAATCCATTAACTTGGAGTTCTGGGTCTTCTATCATAGCTTCTAGAGATAGCAGAATCGCACGGAGAATATCCACAAGTGTGTATCTAAGGAAGACAAAAAAATATTTTGTCCAGTCTGCTGATAGGTATAACAATTTTTATTCTATAAGAATCTGTACATTTCAGGTCTGTTTCATGATTTAAAAGTGGAACTGAGGAGAGAAGAATCAGTAAATGTCGTTCGAAGGAGAAACAAACTCACTATAACATTTTGCATTGGCAAGCAATGGTTGGAAGAAATGCATTGCTAAATGGAAAAAGAGGACATTATGAAATTCACTCATTTTAGAATGAACCTATGCTTTGCTCATCCGAGACAAAAAAAAAAGCAACAGGTTCACTTAATTCCCAACCCAAGCTTTAAAAAAAATTGTAAATAAATTGCCCTGTGTTTGTAAAAAAAAAAAGAATTGCAATTTTTGGTGAAATACTTACTATATATCCAGTGCTGTTCCCAAGCAGACTCATCACTCTAAGGTCAAGCATTTCTCCACTTCCACATTGAATGATGCCCAGCATCATAAAACCCCTTCCTGTGAGCCCCATCAAAGGCACACCCCCTTGGTGTGCCATCAAACCAGCCCGCCACCACCATAAATCTGCACTGTATTGCTGAACACTAAGGCCCTTGCATGTCACTACCTAAATGCCGGTCTGTGCTACAGTGAGGACCACCCAAAGCCAATGCCAGAAAAGAAGAGCAATGACCCATTACATCACATGACTGGCTGAAAGACACTTAAAGATGAACTAAAAATTAGTTCTTTCCTCACAGCAGGTGCTTTAGAACAACAAGTCCGTGTAAAAATTAGGAATTCTGGCAAATGTAGTGTCAACAGAGGAAAGTTACATAGTGAAGACAAGGAGGAGTATGGTGGCCTGATCCTCCTCCTGATGTGATCCTGTGTATAGTGAAAGGGACCTGATCAGATCATGTGGCCACTAATTCACATCTAAAATATTAGGTATGCAGACAAAAAACCTTTATAATTTATAACAGGGAATGTCTACACAGTAGGGACAGAGTGCAGCAGAAGCATTGTTTTAGGACCTAGAGTTAGGGTTTAAGGCATGTAATTTTTTTAATGTGTGTAGTGGAGGTGGGGCTTTTGAGAGGGTATTATGGATATAGAATTGAACGTCCTTTATACTAGGATATACTTTTTTTTACTTGATCGGCTTCCCTTGGCGGGCAGGAGAAAAGAGAATACCCAACACATACAGATTTGGACAATAATGTGACTTACTTCCTGTCATGTGACAGCGTTGGTACTTGGTGATTAGCCCCGCACTGTCACATGTTGGTGGGCAGAGAGTCTTCAGAGGCGTGTTCTACCCTGCCTTGGCAGCTGAACAGGGCAGTAAAGGAGCAAAGCAAATGTATGTGCTGTCAGGGGGAAGTTAAGAGAACCTGTTTCTTTTTTCACTATGGTTCACTAGTCTAAGTTGCCCAAGACAAATGCCTTTTATACTCACTTATGACCAACAAAACCCAGGTTGACAGTTAATATATTGCTAATATGTGGCTTTGTAATTAACACATCTGTTTGGATTTTGTTCCCATGATTCAAAGCGTGTGTGTAAAATGCACTGATGTCCCCTTGACAACTCAAAACCTCAGCATGTGTAAAGCACTGCAGAGTATGTCCACACTATCCAGTTACATTGCTGCAAACCTAATAAGCTCTAGGAATTAATTGCCCAAACAAATGGGAAGTGTCAGTTATCTTCTTTAGCAAACAAAGAAAGCCAAGTGTTTCATTAGTTTGTGTTAAATAAATTAATGTAAGGCTGATAATAATGTCATATATAAAATCAAAATTGCTTACAGCGTAAGTCCAAGGATGAGCCATGTTTTTTTTACAATAAATTGCACTGTTAGGACATTAGTTTAAGTGCTTGTCTAAAAACGCTTTTACATTTTGCTCTTGACAGATGCATGAGTCACCCAGTTCCAAGTGGAAAAACAAATCTGTCAAATCATTACATTACAAATTCATTTCAGCGTAATGCATGAATTTGCTTCTTTTTATGTATTTTTGCTTATAACAAATTGAAACAAATAAGGGGGGCTGGGACTCTACTAAAAATTACCATTTGTTTAATTTTGATAACACTTTTTGCAGAGCCATTCCACCTAAGAAACTTCATGTTCAGTGTTCTTTGTAAATGAAGGCAAAAACAAAAGTTATTAGCACATTTTCATTGTGGCCACTGCATGGAGCTGAAGAGCATAGGAAATAAGAGTGCCTTGCTGGTGATTAACAGAGGCCTTGTAACCCTCTCCATGTTAAGGGCATGTAGCCAGGTATGGTTCAGTAGTTCCTTCTCCCTTTCCTGGCCTTCCCTGCTGGTCTTTTTAATTCCATTGCTTACATTTTACAAAGAGATCACATGGTATAGAGCCAAATTAATTGGCTATATACCTTATTTTTGTTATCTGATTACAGAACAGTGCTTGAGCATTCTCTAGGGGCTGCGCAAGAGCATTGCAAAATCCCATTTTTAGAATAAAGTAAGTGCACTATACAGTACATCTATTACAAATGGTGGATGCATTTTTTTTGTTCCACTTTAACCTTTAATTACAAGCGCCAGGGCTGTCTTTAATATTAAGTGGACCCTGGGCAAGATTTTGCTGATGGGCCCCCACAACCCGCCCACCTCCATTACCTGCCCCCCACTTCCTGACACGGGGTCATGTAATATAAAAGCAATAACGATTTTACTAATATAACCATGTATCGGTACCAGCAGCATAACTAGAAATCACAGGGCCCCATAGCAAAATTTTGTTTGGGGGCCTGTGGTTTCTAGTTACACCAGTTGCATAGTCCAAGTGAGACTCCACACAGCCCACCTGAGAATGACCCTGCAGAGCCCACCATAGACTCTCTTTAGTGCGCTCTGCAGGGTCTCAGGTGGGTCGGTCACACCCGTGCACACCTCTTACCTGTGAGCCCCAATCTGCTGTCAGCTTCCTCCACCGCTGGGCCCCGCCTCCTCCCCCTCCATGGTCGCCGGTGGGCCCGTCTCCTCCTCTACCGGGCCCTGCCTCCTCCCCCACTGCCGACGCTGGCTTCCTCCACCGCAGCTGCTGGCTGGTACTAACTCAGCAGCGGCTGTAAGGAGGAACACGCCGCTGCACAGATCACTAACAGGTTGTCAGTGAACTGAACAGCGCCGCATTCCTCCTCACAGACGCCAGTGACAGCCAGCAGCGGCCGATGCCATAATGACCCAGGCAGCCCGCACGGCATCAGGGGGACCCCTTTGTTCCTCGTCCTGGCTGGGCCCCCCTGTGCCCCGGGCCCCATAGCTGCCTCCTGGGTCGCAATGGCGATAGTTCCACCACTGATTGGTACATTTGTTCTATATTACTTGATAAATCATGCAATACGATTTTTATTTAAATCTAATTTTATGATTTATCAGGTAGTACAGAACATGGATAAATTAGTAAAATCTGTATTGCAATGACACAGCATATTACTAAACACATGGACTGAATATACATTTCAGCACATGTTTAGTGATATGCCTGTAAATACAACACAGTCCAGAATCTTCCTCCCCAGTCCTGCTCCCAGACCCCAGCCTGTGTGCTAAAGACAAATGTAAAGTTAAATACAGATAAGTGTAAATAAAGATAAAGAAAATGATGGTAACCATTTTTTTTTTCAGATTTACCTGTGCTGTCTCGCTGTACCCTCCCCCTCCTTCTCCTCCGTGCCTGCCGGGTCTCTGTGACAGACATTGGGGGAGGAGATCACAGCAGGAGACACACACACACACGGACGGACAGTCACTTCACAGGCTGGCAGCTACTGAGAACGGATGTCCGTTCTGTCTCCCCACCGGCTCACACACACAGCTCATTTTCTGTTTGCCGCTGCATGTGCAAGGGACATCTGCTGTGGGCCCCTGTACATTATGGGGCCCAGGGCAAATGCCCCTTATGCCCTGCGGTAAAGACGGCCCTGACAAGCGCTGCTCCCCACTGAACTGTATTTTAAAAAACATTTTATTGCTTTTGAAAAGGTCACTTTTACTGTAGTACATCCTACAGATGAGCTACTTCAAAGCCTCGTGTAAGCTTACCAGTGCCGTCTAGGGGACCATTGCTGCACCCTGTACCCACACTCAGCCCTGCATCTGCCAGAATGTGCCTAAGCTTGGACCTGTCATTTTATGGCCATGCTGATTTGCTCTTTGTACTGTTTATCCTATTTCACTAACAGTGACTCCTAAAGTCAACCAAGTTACCTGTACTTATTCCTGGATGCATACCTCTGCCATCCAAGGCACCAAGGCATCATCCTGTACTCACAGTCAAACCTGCATCTGCCTTCTTTCAGAATCTGCCAAAATGTGAACCTGTCACTAGCACCACCTGGTAAGCATTGAGTTTTCCTCGTCCAGTTCTTAAGTCATGAAAAGAAAGGATGTAAAAGAAACATGTATTTCTTAGTGTGCTGTTCTAATATATCAATACAATAAAAAAGCACCTAAACAGTACAGGTCACAAACCAGCTGTAAGAGAGGATATAACTCAGCAAATAATATATTATTGTAGCTTAAAAAAGTGTTCTATTTAACAAAACTATAGTTGCTGAAACACTCTTTGCATGTGTTTTTATTGAACATAACCTGGTTGAGTCTGACCACACATATTCATGTGGACATCACAGGTGCACAGTCATAATCAGTAATGTGCTGCCACAAAACTGCACCATTTAGCTTACTGATCTTGTAAGAATTTACCTTGACCCATTTACCTTGCATCTGAATGGAAGCAAGGATGTTTACCGTGAAAAGCTTTTTCCCTTAGCTAGTTCATTTTCTTGAAACTTGTGGAAAAAAAAAACTTGCAATGTTGGAGATGCTGATCTGCACAGAAGACAGTTCTGCAAATGCTATCTCATCTTCTGGATACTTTTTTGAAGAATTCTAGAATTCCTTGGAAAAATTGTGTGTACTCAAGTAGCAAGTGTTAATATGGGAAGGCTTAGTGGGCTACAGAAGTCAGTTAGTAACCACAGCAA